CTGCACCCCCCGCTATTCCACCCCAGAGCTCCCCACACAGACAGACAACTGCACCCCCACCCTGACCTGCACCCCCCGCTATTCCACCCAAGCTCCCCACACAGACAACTGCACCCCCACCCTGACCTGCACCCCCTGCTATTCCACCACTGAGCTCCCCACACAGACAGACCAGTGCATCCCCGCCCTGACCTGCACCCCCCGCTATTCCACCCCAGAGCTCCCCACACAGACAGACCAGTGCACCCCCATCCTCACCCCACCATTATTCCACCCGAGCTCCCCAGACAGACCAGTGCATCCCGCCCTGATCTGCACCCCCTGCTATTCCACCCGAGTGCCCCAGACCAGTGCACCCCCACCCTGACCTGCACCCGCTGCTATTCCACCCCAGAGCTCCCCACAGACCAGTGCAGCCCCACCCTGACCTGCACCCCCCGCTATTCCACCCCAGAGCTCCCCACACAGACAGACCAGTGCACCCCCACCCTAACTACATTTGCAACTCCACAGAGTTTTGAAAAGTCAGATCTTGTACAACCTTTTTTTATCACCTAGCCCGCTCTTACCTCCCAGCCTGCTGCAGGACCACTCAGACCTCTTTAACCGCTTCTTGCTAGGACTCGCCAGGGTTAACATTTCGAATTAAGCAGATGGGAATATATAAGCAACAAGGGGCCTGGCGCATGTGCTATACACAAATGTACTTTCAAATTCATTCTGGGGAATGGACTAGATTTCATATAAACATTGTCTTTAACCACCCACTAACAATCCCTAAATGCAATTCCTGGATGAGAACATGAGCCAAGCCCACCAGAGCTTTGTGCTCATGTGAAAACGTGCAGTTGACTGTCAGCATTCCAAACAGCAGGGCTCTCTAGCACTGGGGTTGTGTTGAACATCCACTCAGCCACATTTCGTATGATGAGAAAGGTCTTCTTTCTTGTGCATACTGCCGCAGACAGAACTCCAGGCTGCTCCGTGTCCTTCTAGAGGGAGGAGAAATTTCTCCGTAGGTAGTTACAGGACAGCTCAGAAACTTGTCTCCAGGTTAAAGAGTACAAAGGAAACAGCCAGTGAGCATGCATGTTAATCCATTATTATTTATTAGCTGTACAGCAGTATATTCTCCTTCCCAGCTTTCAAACCCCATTACATATTTTATAACAGTTTTTTTTCTCATGTTGGCTTTCTAAAATAATGAAAAATATCACACAGTACAGCTAAGTACAAAAATGCATCAACCTAGAGTCTGATAGCTAAACTGATAGCTCTCTTAAAAGCGATACATAGAAGAAAAATTTGTTTGAAATCAGCAAGACTGAGGCTCTATAAAAAGCTTACATATTTTAACATGTGACAGTTCATATACAGGCATCATTTGTATTTCACATTATTCCTTTGCTGTCTTTTTATTAGAGATCCAAAATTTTATCATTACTGACCTAGTAAAATTTCCTGGCCCAGGTTTCCAGGGCTGCAGTGATCCACTTGCAAATCACCACTTCTGTCTTAACATAGGATTCATAAACACAAAACAACTACAAAGTAGAGCAAAGAAAATGTAGTTGTGAAGTTATAACTGAAAAGGTTAATTATACATGTTTTAAATGCCAGTTCCATGTGCTTTGAAACCAGATTTCATGGTTGGGCTTCCGTTGTTTTGCGACAATAGTCTGGGTACCTCTCTCTTCTACATGATTGGTTATCAACAACTTTTCCAACATTTACACTACCAATTCTCTTGTCACTTAATTTGCAAGTCATTAAAACATTGGGGTTTTCTTAATCTGCATTTTTTCATACCTCTTATTTAATGGAAAAAGATTAAAATGTAAAAAAAAAAAAAGTTATTTACAAGCTTGACCATTGCAGAAATGCTTTGCCCAGAGCAAAGCATAATGAGGACAGAAACCAGTTGGAGCATGCCAAAACTACCGTGTGTGGCCGACTCAGAGAACCGGAGCTAGTCAGTGGGGCAAAGCAAAACCAAAAGCATTTTAAAAGTCTAGAACCCTCCCCAGTCTGCATTTACAGTTAAAAACACTACTGGGAGAAGAAGGCTGGAGGACTTTGGGAACTCGAAGGGCAAGTCCAGAGTGGTGTACCACATACTCTAGTCAGGGCTTCCATTTTTCCACTTGTGTATTAAAACTTGTTACATGTAAACACTGTCCTTGGACCATCATTACAATGCAGTTCAGAGCAAAATGAATCGAGCATTTCACGGGGAAACCCTCAAGGACTCCAACATATATTCTAATGCTCCATGATCCTGTAACGCTAACATAAAACAGCAAGTTCTAGTTAAATCACATTCTAACATCATTTTGAAGTTTTATTTCCCAGTATGTTTGGTAAAATGGTCTAAAATGATGCATTTCCCAAAGCCAAGAAAAAAGGTAAAAGGAAAAAATAGATTTGAGCCGTTTAAACACAGCCCAGGCCAGTTCAGTCAGCAAGCTTGGCCTTTTCCTCCATCACCGGTCCATCATGCTCAGAATCATCTCAGGAGTGAGATCTCCATTGGGAGCTTCCACTACGGCAGGCTGAGCTTCCTCTTCTTCCCCTACTGTTTCTGCATCAGGTTCTTTCTTTACTTCAACTATAATGTTTTCAATTGCACCAGTGTTCTGGTCTTCAACCTGAATGATTGCTGCAGCTAGCAAGGAAAAAAGGGATATATCAGAACACAGGTTTCACAGGCAGGGGGTATGTTAAAATAGATACTCTTCAAAAGTGTTTTATATAGTTGCTTTCCATGCCAGACAGTTTATTACTGAAACTGAACATAGAATATTAACCATCTTTTCACAAATTCAATCCTTGTTTACCAATGATAATCAGGGCTCCAACATCTTAACAGCATTTATGTGCTGCCAGAATCCACTGCTAAGCACTTCTCATTGTTGCAATATCATTTGAATTAGTACCCCAATTTTTTAGTAGAGTCAAGGTCAGCCCTGGGTTTCAGCAGTGCTCACTGGCCTGGAGGTTTACTAATGGGGTGAACTGTAACTGTTTACAGCAGTGGTAAGAGGCTCAATGCCCTGCACGAGAAGGGGCATTCAGCACAAGTTCAGTGATCCATACCCCATAAATGGGAATTCACAAAGGCAATTTTCCAGGAACACAGGAGCCCAGCCTCTTCATGCCTGACCTCAAGAGGCACATGCTCCTCAGAATGGGGGGGGCCAAAAATATGAGACCTATCTCCCACTCATCCGCAAGTATCACAAGTTCCCTACACAGCTTCCCTGCAGCAGCCTCTACATGCAGTTGTGTTGCCAACACAAGTATCTGCTGTATGCTGACAGTTATGGGGCAACATATCTCCCCATGTAAGTATTCTCACACTTCTTATCAACCTGTCTGTACTGGGCTATCCTGATTATCACTTCAAAAGTTTTTTTTCCTCTTACTTAATTGGCCTCTCAGAGTTGGTAAGACAACTCCCACCTGTTCATGCTCTCTGTATGTGTGTATATATATATGTCCTCAATATATGTTCCATTCTATGCATCCGAAGAAGTGGGCTGTAGCCCACGAAAGCTTATGCTCAAATAAATTTGTTAGTCTAAGGTGCCACAAGTACTCCTGTTCTTTATAAAATACATTGTTTCATAGCAGAGTAACGAACAATACCGTATTGATTATATGGGTGTTCGCTGACTAAACATCTCCATTTGCTAACTGGTGTGATGCTGCAGTTGAATTCAAGACCAGAGTACAGTGTAAATGTTTAGACAGACAGGATTCAGTGCCTTGTGGCACAGCACTTTTGGCCTTGAGTACACAGGAGGACAGTAGGTGGCAGCCATTCCTTGAAGAGGGGAACAGACTCACCCTTCAAGTGTGATTTATATGAATATTTTTCTTGGATTCTGTACAACCCTCTACTGGGCTTTAGTCTTACAACATCACCCCTTTGGGCAAGGACCATGTCTACCTATGTTCATATAGCACCTAGCACCGAGAGATGCTCATTGTACTACCATAATGAACAATGTAATGAAAGTAAACACTAGTTTTTAGCGTATGATCTGGGCTGCTTCGTAAACTTGATTATTATTGTTGTTACAAATTTTTAGTGGTTAATTCGCCAGAGCACCTGGAAGCAATTTACACAGATTGGAAGCATGTTAACCTGCGAAGAAAAGATAACTATCCTCCCCTCCTTTCACAGAACTGCCTCCGATCGATTAGCTCCATAACTCTGTCAGGAAATGCCTACATCAAAAGGAGTCTTGCATTGAGTCCTGCAGGCAGGATCTCAACCACACTAAAGTGCCTCAGTAAAATGATACAGAGAGAGAGCGAGCATATTTTAAAAAGTACTCAGTTCCATGTTAAGGGCTTTTCCTTCACCCTCCCCTGGTTCTTGTCACACAGACAAAAAGCAGAAGACAGAAGTCCTAAGTGCAGGCAATGCAATGTTTATTGGGGTTAATCAAGTAAGCATATCCATAGCTTTGTATGCCACAGAACCTTCCCAGTGTCCCTGTTCCCCCTCCTCTTTCTTAGCAGGCATAATTATACCTGTAGTGTACACCCTTGGTCCTACCCCTTACCAATTTATGGTCATGTTCCATTTTGGAGGGTCTTGGGTCAGGGGGCTGCAGTACCACCTCTTTTGTATCCCATGGCTAGGGCCCTACCAAATTCATGGCCATGAAAAACGCACCATGGACTGTGAAATCTGGACTTTTGTGGGCTTTTACCCTATACTATACAGATTTCTCAAATTGTGGGCCCTGACCCCAAAAGACAGTTGCAGTGGGGTCACTAGGTTATTTTAGGGGGGTTACAGTATTGCCACCCTTACTTCTGCACGGTCTTCAGAACTTGGCAGCTGGAGAGCGGCAGCTGTTGGCTGGGCGCCCAGCTCTGAAGGGAGCGCCCTGTCAGCAGCAGTGCAGAGGTAAGGGTGGCAATACCGTACCAGTAAAACCCTTACTTCTGTGTTGCTGCCTTCAGAGCTGGGCGGCCAGAGAATGGTGGCTGCTGACTGAGGGCCCAGCTCTGCAGGCAGCAGTGCAGAAAGTAAGAGTGGCAATATCATATCATATCATGCCATCCTCCTTACTTCTGCACTGCTGCTGGCAGTGGCTCTGCCTTTGGAGCTGGGCTCCCGGCCAGCAGCCACTGCTCTCCAGCTGCCCAGCTCTGAAGGCACCACTGTCACCAACAGCAACACAGAAGTAAAGGTAGCAGTACTGCAACCACCCCTACAAAAACATTGTGACCCCCCGCTCCCACGACTCCTTTTTGGGACAGGACCCCTACAATTACAATACCAGGAAATTTCAGATTTAAATACAGTAACTCCTCACTTAAAGTCGTCCCGATTAATGTTGTTTCATTGTTACGTTGCTGATCAATTAGGGAACATGCTCGTTTAAAGTTGTGCAATGCTCCCTTCTAACGTCGGCCTGCTTTGTCCACTTCTTGCAGGAAGAGCAGCCCATTGCAGCTAGCTGGTGGGGGCTTGTAACCAGGGTGGACGGGCAGCCCCCCTGTCAGTTCCCCGTGCTGTAGCCACCCAGCAGACTATCAATTGCAGGCTATCATTTGCTGACAGTTCAGCTGTCCCTCCCCCCACTGCCATGTGCTGCCCCTGCCCTCTGCCTTGGAGCTGCTCCCAGAGACTCCTGCTTGCTGTGCGAGGGGGAAGGGGGGGGGGGTAATGTCAGGGTGTCCCCCCCCACCCCTGCTTACCCCTTCTCCATATAGAGCAGGGAGGGGACACGGACGGAGAGAGACAGAGAGCTTGGGGCAGCAGCTGCTGTCTCAACTTCCTGATCCACTTGAAAAGACAATGCACTTAAGAGTGGGTTAGCTTCCTTAAAGGGGCAGTGTGCATCTTTCTCTCTCTCTCTTTCCCACACACAAGGTGTGTGTCTGTCTCTGTCCGCTATGCTGTCTCCCCTCCCTCGTGTTCATGCTGCCTTGTGTGAGAGGCTACATTAACAACAATGTGTTAACCCTTGAGGGCTCAGCCGAGTGCTAGTTCATCATTTATCAGCAAGGCATTTCCTGGGAAATAGCTCTCCCTCTTCCACCCTCTAACTTCACCACCTCAACCAAGCTTCACAATCATCATAGCTGTGAACAGTATTAAATTGTTTGTTTAAAACATATACTGTGTGTAAATATATATATTATATATATTTTTTGTCTGGTGAAAAAAATTTCCCTGGAAACTAACCATTTACATTAATTCTTATGGGGAAATTGGATTCGCTTAACATCGTTTCGCTTAAAGTCGCATTTTTCAGGAACATAACTACAACGTTAAGCGAGGAGTTATTGTAGCTGAAATCATGAAATTTAAATAGAAAATTATTTTTAAAATCCTATGACCATGAAATTGACCAAAATGGACTGTGAATTGGGTACGGCCATACCCATGGGAGGGGTAAGGAGTGAGGTTGTGCTTTGGTCAGGGACAGGCATTTCTTCGGCTTTTAGTGTTTCTTATACCTTCCCCTCCATCGCCCTCGCCTCTCCCGACAGGTTGCTTGACCTTATCATAGAATCATAGAATATCAGGGTTGGAAGGGACCTCAGGAGGTCATCTAGTCCCACCCCCTGCTCAAAGCAGGTCTAATCCCCAACTAAATGATCCCAGTCAGGGCTTTGTCAAGCCTGCCCTTAAAAACCTCTAAGAAAGGAGATTCCACCATCTCCCTAGGTAACCCATTCCAGTGCTTCACCACCCTCCTAGTGAAAAAGTTTTTCCTAATATCCAACCTAAACCTCCTCCACCGCGACTTGAGACCATTACTCCTTGTTCTGTCATCTGGTACCACTGAGAACAGTCTAGATCCATCCTCTTTGGAACCCCCTTTCAGGTAGTTGAAAGCAGCTATCAAATCCCCCCTCATTCTTCTCTTCTGCAGACTAAATAATCCCAATTCCCTCAGCCTTTCCTCATAAATCATGTGCTCCAGACCCCTAATCATGTTTGTTGCCCTCCGCTGGACTCTCTCCAATTTTTCTACATCCTTCTTGTAGTTTGGGGTCCAAAACTGGACACAGTACTCCAGATGAGACTTCACCAATGCCGAATAGAGGGGAATGATCATGTCCCTTGATCTGCTGGTAATGCTCCTACTTATACAGCCCAAAATGCCGTTAGCCTTCTTGGCAACAAGGGCACACTGTAGACTCATATCCAGCTTCTCGTCCACTGTAACCCCTAGGTCCTTTTCTGCAGAACTGCTGCCTAGCCACTCGGTCCCTAGTCTGTAGCAGTGCATGGGATTCTTTCGTCCCAAGTGCAGGACTCTGCACTTGTCCTTGTTGAACTTCATCAGATTTCTTTTGGTCCAATCCTCTAATTTGTCTAGGTCCCTCTGTATCCTATCCCTACCCTGCAGCATATCTACCACTCCTCCTGGTTTAGTGTCATCTGCAAACTTGCTGAGGGTGTAATCCACACCCTTCTCCAGATCATTAATGAACATATTGAACAAAACCGGCCCCAGGACTGACCCTTGGGGCACTCCGCTTGATACCGGCTGCCAACTAGACACGGAGCCATTAGATCACCACCCATTGAGCCCGATGGTCTAGCCAGCTTTCTATCCACCTTATAGTCCATTCATCCAGCCTATACTACTTTAACTTGCTGGCAAGAATAGTGTGGGAGACCGTATCAAAAGCTTTGCTAAAGTTAAGGAATAACATGTCCACTGCTTTCCCCTCATCCACAGAGCCAGTTATCTCCTCATAGAAGGCAATTAGGTTAGTCAGGCATGACTTGCCCTTGGTGAATCCATGCTGACTGCTCCTGATCACTTTCCTCTCCTCTAAGTGCTTCAAAATTGATTCCTTGGGGACCTGCTCCATGATTTTTCCAGGGACTGAGGTGAGGCTGACTGGCCTGTAGTTCCCCGGATCCTCCCTCTTCCCTTTTTTAAAGATGGGCACTACAATAGCCTTTTTCAATCATCCGGGACCTCCCCTGATCGCCATGAGTTTTCAAAGATAATGGCCAATTATCTTGAGAGAGGAGGTGAGGCAGGACTGTCCTTCATGTGTACGTTCTGTGACAAAGTTCCTCCTCTACCTTGGTGGGTCCTGCGCTTATTGGCGGATTTGCTCGCCTCACAGATTCACCATGTGGGTCGGGAAACAGCCCAGAGACCTTCCTCTCTGGTAGAAGCCACAGTCCAGGTCAATTCCTCCTGTGTCTGATCAGGAGTTGCGAGGTTTGGGGGGAACCCGGGCCCGCCCTCTACTCCGGGTTCCAGCCCAGTGCCCTATGGACTGCAGCTGTCTAGAGAGCCTCCTGTTACAGCTGCGCGACAGCTACAACTCCCTGGGCTAGTTCCCCGTGGCCTCCTCCCAACACCTTCTTTATCCTCACCACAGGACCTTTCTCCTGGTGTTTGATAATGCTTGTACTCCTCAGTCTTCCAGCAATATGTCTTCTCACTCCCAGCTCCTCGCATGCATGCCACAAACTGAAGTGAGGTCCTTTTTAAACTCAGGTGCCCTGATTAGCCAGCCTGTCCTAATTGATTCTAGCAGTTTCTTAATTGGCTCCAGGTGTCTTAATTATCCTGCCTGTCTTAATTAGTTCTAGCAGGTTCCTGATTACTCTAGTGCAGTCCCTGCTCTAGTCACTCAGGGAACAGAAAACTACTCATCCAGTGACCAATATATTTGCCCTCTACCAGACTCCTGTACCCCACTGGTCTGGGTCTGTCACAGTTCGTATATTAAACTCCCACTCTACCCAGCTATACTTTAGCTCTGTCCCTTATCTCTTTTCACCCCATCTTGTTGTGGGCAGATGTAACACACAGTGTCTTTGTTCACACAAACAGTAACTCCTCACTTAAAGTCATCCTGGTTAACATTGTTTCGTTGCTGATCAATTAGGGAACATACTCGTTTAAAGTTGTGCAATGCTCCCTTCTAACGTCCCTGCTTTGTCCACTGCTTGCAGGAAGAGCAGCCCGTTGCAGCTAGCTGGTGGGGGCTTGGAACCAGGGTGGACCGGCAGCCCATCAACTCCCCACTCCCCTAAGTTCCCTGTGCAGCAGCTGCCCAGCAGCCTATCAATTGCCGGCAGTTCAGCTGTCCCTACCCCCCCTGCCATGTGCTGCTCCTGCCCTCTAGCTGCTCCCCGAGACTCCTGCTTGCTGTGTGGGGCGGGGGTGGGGGGCTAATGTCAGGGTGTCCCTCTCCCCCCTGCTCCTGCACCCTGCTTACCCCATCTTCCATAGAGCAGGGGGAACACATGACAGGGCTCAGGATGGAGGGAGCTTGCTGGCAGCAGCTGCGATCTCAGCAAGCTGATCTAATTAACAAGGCAGTGTACTTAAGAGTAAGGTCAGCGTACTTAAAGGGGAAATGCACATCTCTCTCTTTCACACACGGTATGTGTGTCTGTCTGCGATGCTGTCTCCCCTCCCTTGTGTTCGTGCTGCCTTGTAGAGTGTGAGTTAACCCTTGAGGGCTCAGCCAATTGCTAGTTCATCATTTAGCAGTAAGGCATTCCCTGGGAAATATCCCACCCTCTGACTCCTCCACCTCAACCAAGCTTCACAATTGTCATCACTGTGTACCAGTATTAAATTGTTTTTTTAAAACTTAGAGAGAGAGAGAGAGAGAGAGAGAGAGTGTGTGTGTGTGTGTCTGTGTGTGTAAAATATAGTCTTTTGTCTGGTGAAAAATTTTCCCCTGGAACCTAACCCCCTCATTTACATTAATTTTTATGGAGAAATTAGATTCGCTTAACATCGTTTTGCTTAAAGTTGCATTTTTCAGGAACATAACTACAACGTTAAGTGAGGAGTTACTGTATTAGTAAGAACATAAAAATACCAAAAGTCAAATGGGCAAAGACCCCAAATTCTATCTCAGCCAAATATACAGGCCTGAATATTACATTATCTTCACTATCACTCCTAACACCCCATTCATTCAAGTGGAATGAAAAGCCTTAGGAAGGTGCACAGAGACCCACATGAGGAGCTGCTCACACTGGATGCTACTCTGAAGGTCAGGCAGTAACTTACGCTGGGGTTGTTTTGGTTGGTTGGCTTTGCCTGGCGGCCTTCCTCTTCGTTTCTTAGCAGGAGGTGGTGCGGGAGCCACTGGCTCCACTTCCGGTTCAGCCTCAATTTCTACTGCTGTCTCCTCCTCATCTTCATTGTCATCCAGATCTGGTTCAGCATTTTCTTCTTTAAAAAACAGAAAGAAAACAGGATAAATCTTTGGTTTATGCAGGGACAAAACATCAACCCTGGCTTTCTACAAGGAGTAAGAACCAACCCTTCATCATTCTGAGCTGGAATCAGCTCCCCACCTCCACTCAAATGAAGGCAGCGAAGGCAAGTGAACCTGCTAGCGACAAGGAATTCATTAGAGGGATTTTCAATACTGAGTTATTCATCTTAGAAGGTTGGAAACTGAATCTCCCAGAAGAGGAAAAAGAAAACATGGCCCCATATCCAGTACCAGTGATTACCGGTATCATTGTGAAACATTTTAGAACTCAAGGGGAAGAAAGGAGCAGGACGTCTGGGAACAATTCAGTTGCCAAGAGATGGCACCAGAACCCTCACTATTGTTACCCTGCTTCATTAGGATAGAGGGGGCTCAGAGAGACAGGAAGTCTCCCTAGCCATCTCTGGGTGAGGAAGGATTATCCAACACAGTATATTCTCAGGGGTTTTGTCTGGTTTTAAGTGACTCATGATGGAGCCTCCACCTCTTCTCTTAGGAGACTACTCCAGCCTGACAAATCTCACTACTAGGAAATGATTTTCCAAACTTTTCTTGGAATAATTAATCTAATGGTTTTGATTTCTATCCCATTGGAGCATCCTGAACAATTCTACCTCCTCCTAAAGTTCCTCCCTTCAGATGCTTGCATTAGATAATATGGTCAACACCCTTTTAACCCCTGAAACTCCTATGCTCAAGCCCATCCTGCTGTGCAGAGTTGAAGGGAACAAGCTTCAGGAAAAGATGTGGTGAGAGTGAGGTTGTGTGGAGGGCAAAATGGCTGCGACCAACCTCTATGCAAGTGCCTCCCCTCTACAGAAGAATATACACAGCCCGTTGCATGTGTGGAAAAGGGGGTGTGGCCAGTGAAGAAGCCACACTAAGCAGCAAGCTTCCATTAAACCAATTGTGGGAAAAATGCAGTAAGAGCTGGGGCAAGTTAATGTCTGTAGAAGCACCCCTCCCCCAATCAGAAGGGTCCACAGAACAGCCCTGAACCAGTACAAATACTAGCCTGGCTGTGCTACGATGGCTACTGTTGGGTGAAGAATTCCTCCACAAGGCTGCCCAGAAGTCTTCTGGGCTCCACACTGCCACTGGTTCCACAGAGAGGGGGTGGTGGGGCCACTGCACAGATACCATGATGATTTTGCTCCCTTCTGTGACGTTTTGAATGGGAAGGGAAAATATAAACCTCAATCCATTGTATCTGGCTTTGGCTGTACTTCCTGTGTTGGTGTGCTGCCAGTGTTCAAGGCACCCAGTGCCACGTAACACCACAGAGCACACAAATATTCTAAATACAATCCTATCAGCACTGTAACGAGAGAAGCTATCATTATCCTGATTATGCTATGGACGTCCACAGCCCCAGGTGCACTGGCTTTATTGCCACCATATCACATTGCAAACTCAGGTTTTGCTAGGCTGTTTGTTCTCACCACATTCCGACTCTCCAAACATTTCCCTCCCATTGAGTATGTGTGCGCTGTGGTATTTTACCCCAGGGTTATTAGATCCCAGACTAATACCATCTGTAATTGGGGAGGGAAAGAGACACACTAGAACAATTAAACACATTTGATATTTTCTCTGTTTATCTGCCCAATTTCATCACAGCTTTCCTCATGGTAATTATGCATTACCAGTGGCACAAACATGTATAGCACTTAAACCTGCAGCTGAAAAAATGATCTTAAGAAATAGTCTTCATGCAGCATGAATTTCATTCTGGGTGACGTAACTTCTCTGTGCAGACTGGGCTAGGAACTCCTGCCCACGTGCTGTACATTTCACATTAGCGTATTACCTCTGTGCATTCTGACTCCTTGGAAAGTCCAGATACTTTGCATTCCATATGTCAGGAAGTATTTTCAGCCCCTTGTGAAACCTCTAAAAAGTATTCAGTACATAAGTCTTGGTTCAGCCACCACTCTTCTAGCAGAGATTTTTGGCCAGCCTACCCCACACAGCTCCTTCCAAACCTGGAGAGTGTGCACTACTGGACAAAATAAAATTCTTTATACAGCTGATAGTTTCTACCACAAGACTTCTCTTGTGGTAGTCTCTTCTCTTTGCCTCTAAGACATAACTTATCTTTTAAGGACTTGTGTTACTGTGAAACTTTACAATTGAGGTTTGCACAGTAAGCACTATTTTGACCCCACTTTTCTAACTTCCTGAAAAAGCCTTTTCCACCAGACATTTCTCATGCATGTTCTGTCAGGAAGATGACTTTTTCCCTTGGACATTAACTACATAAGCCATCTTGAGGGTTTGACAAGGAGAGTCTTTGCTTTGGAAAATCATCTTTCAAATGCTTGGTCTAGAAACACCAACTGTGTTTTCTTCAGTTGAGGACCAGGACTTCAATACTTTTCCATTCAAAGTGGAAAAATTCAGAGTGCAGGCAAACAGTTTTTGAGTTATCGACTATAAAACATTCCATTGGGTCCTGGAAGTGTATATAAACTGACTGTTAACCCTTTAGACATCAGTGCTAATCTCCATTCTCAGCCAGTATGTGCTGGCTGCCAGCGGTCCTATCAAGTCCTGCTCCTGGTTGTCAGTGTGCATGTGAACACACATGAATGCTTCCCACTAGGACAGAGAGAGAGTCAGGTGGCAGTGGACTCTACCATCAACCCCTTGCAACTCTACTCTTCAGTTCACCTGAACAATTAGGAAAAACAGTCCAGAGCTGTAAGTGGTTCCCTCACCTCTCCCTGACTTGCAGCTGGGCTTCTGCTTCAGAAAATTTTCACCTCCCCCCACAGGAGTTCAATGACTCAATGGCAAATTTGTCAATCAGTTGCACAAAACCAGGGTCATCTGGGACTTTGAATGGAGCGTGGGCATGTATATATTATTGTATACAGTCCAACCCTGGAACCCAGCACAAACACAAAGGTGCCAATTTATTTAATAGATGGAAGCTACAGGCCCTGGGTAGCTTAGGAAGCAGAAAGTAGGCAGGCAGGACAACTGGACACCTTGAGAGTAGGAGTGAAAGAGATGAGCCTCTTTTCAATTAGTCATGTCCTGGAAGAAGACAGGGATGACAACTCATGCCCTACTTCCCCAGCTGGTGCAATCCTCTCTGCGCTAGGGTGCATGCCACCACAGCCTAATCTGTTCGCTTGCCAGCTAGCTCCCAAATTTCCAGGTGCCAGAACCAGCTTGCAGAGTTTGTAAGCTCTCAATTGGTCAGAATCAAGGAATTTATGAATGCAAAAAGTGTTCTCCTGGTAAAAAGATTTAGCCACGTTCTAAAAGAAACAAAGTACATTAATTCCCAAACAAGAAGTGAGCGGCTGGGGCATTGGTCTGGTATTCAGAAGACCTGCATTCTATTTCTGGCTCGGCCACTGATCTTCGGCGTGACCTTGGACAAGTTATTTCCCCTCTCTGGGGCTGTTTTTCCTCATCTGTACTGTGCCTAGCATCATGAGGCCCTGATGCCTCCAGATGTACAGCAATACAAATAAATACAATAAAACTAAATAAAGTGAAGATATTTCAACTGATTCAGAACATTGGAAGGTGCTACTTATTTTAAAACAACTACACTTAGAAAGCCAGATAATTCTGAACTCGTGTTCTATGAAACCTCAACTCTATCAAATCCCATCCTCTGTCCACAGGAAACCACCTTCTTTCCAGTCACTGTATGTCATCTCCAATAGCTACAAGTCCTCACCTCATCTACTGTAAAGAGAAATTAAGAGCCACTGTCTACTAGCACAGACTCTCCTCCAGATCAGCTACTCATTCACATGGCGCACAGCAACACCTTTCTTATCCTTATACAATACGGAACATCCACCCCATCTAAAATTCCGCCAGAAGCCAGAGAAACCCACTTACTACATACTGTAGCTAGAAGCCTCCTTATCTATCTCATTCATCCCCATCCAGCAATAAAACTCTATCCTTCAAAAGCAAGCCTGAGCTGCATCTTTGCCCTATCCACGACACAAACTGGCCCCAAAAGCCAGTCTCAATAGCTGGAGTATATTGAGACACATGTAGAACATAGGCCATTTACAGTTGTAGTCAGTGATGGTAAAAATTCAAGTTGTTATACTTATATGTGTACACTCACACAACATAGCATTCCAGGGGGAATGAAATGCATGTGCAATAACTATGTTGTAGACTTCCAGTGAAAACAGTCTTGACTAGTAAGGTACCAATAGAAAAGAGATGGTTTACTACAAGCTCGTACAAAAGGCTAGGTACATTTAACCAGTTCATTACGCAGTGCTCTTACCACTATCAGAGGAATCTTCTTTTTTAGAACGCATCTTTCTCTTTCTCCCACGTTTTCCCTTCTTAGGCTCCCCTCCATTCTCTCCTTCTACACCATCTGGGCCAGAACAATTATCTGCATGTCTAGCCATGGTGTTCTAATCAGGGAAAGGAAAAAACAAACACTGAAATCAAAACTAGGTAGCAGCCCTGTATTTACAAGCCAAGTTCTACTTTTGATAGCTTATTCCTTACAAAAAATAAATTAAAAATTCCCACTTATGTAGAATCCAGAGAAACCAGTGATTGTGTTAATGTATGTTTATTTTGAGTTTTGCCATCAACTGTCTTTTTAGTTTCCTTAGGTGGTTACTGCTGCAAAGAATACACTAATCTAAGTGTGAGCTGCGTCCAGCTCCCCTTCTCAAACACACGCTTACAGCTTATTGTTTTATGGAACAGCCTCCCTCTCCTTACAGAGATCAGTTCAAACCGTGGTCTGCTCACTTACCCTGCGAGTGAATGTTTTCCCACACTTTGAACAGACAAAGGCAGCAGGGACAAAGTTGGGGTCATGGTAACGTTTGAAGTGCATATCGAGGAGCTGTTTCTGACGGAAGGTTTTATCACAATGGCTACAGGCATAAGGCTTTTCTCCAGTATGGGTACGTTTGTGCATGATCATGTGCCGCTCCTGCCATTGAGAGAAACTCATTCAGAAGAGTAAGCAAAACACAGAGCAGTAGTAATGAATATGCACTCAGACACATGAATGCAAAAGGTTAGCAGTTGTCATTAATAGGGGGAAGAGCTCTAATATTTCACTCAGAGAGCAGCATCTGGGAGGAGAGGGGAGGGGAAGATGCTCCTTTAGGTGAGCTGGGACATCTCCATCCATGCTACATTCAGCTGCCAGGATCCTAGCTGCAGTTTCTTTCCCCTGTGCCAGCCAATACTCCAGTTCTGTGACAAACATATTCCATTCTTTGTCTTCTTTAGAAGATAATTTCTGTAAAGAGACCCTTAGCTGGAAGGCTAAGGCCAGTGTAAAAGGGCACTACACTTTCCTATATCAGTCCTTAACATAGACGAAAAGAGAAGGCATCAAATTTGATCAGCTACCAAGATTAGTAGTTTCTTCTTTAATGTTTGATTTGTAGCCCACATTTGCTGTGCCTGGATGAGAATGCTGCTCTGGATGTTCACAAGGGCTGCGTGAACAGCCAACCTCTCTGGAATCACCAGTAGGCTTACCTGTCTGCATGCATAATCACACTGGTCACACTTGAAGCGCTTCTCATTCTTGTGAGATTTCTGATGCTGGATGAGAGCGTATCGTTCGTGGAACACAGCATCACAGTAACGGCACTTCTTGCCCTGCTCAATGTAGGAATGCTGCTTTCGTAAATGAACACCTAATAACACAAGAAAAAGTCTCCTTATATTACAGCTGATAAAGATATTCTCTGAATACCTATCCTCTTGGGTGCTTTTGTTATATAATTTGGTTGGAAGCTAGAAGCCTGGGCCCTATTAATACTTTGAAATTACATTAACAGCGCCATGTAGGATTAGCAATTTCTTCCTCAAATTTCTGTTTTCCTGTTCACCAAAAAGGTTTGTTTCCATTGCCAATCTAAATGTACATATACTAATTTGCTGGGAAAGCCTCCAAGAACTAACAGCTCATTAATAAGCTCATTAAAATATCTGATTTATTAAACCACAAAACTATGTCCTATGAAGAGTAGGAGTTAAAATGCAAGGCAGGCAGATACTTTTGTACGTGGCAAAACGAGCAAGGTAAAACAGTGAGAGTATCAGGCCAGAGTTTGGCGTTAGTGGTTTCTTTGCTTTGTGGGTTTCAATTGGACCCTTCCATTTACTTTGGGCGGGGGAGGGGGGGGGGAAGAGAGAGAGAGAGAGAGAGAGAGAGAGAGAGGTTAAAAAAACCCATACAATTGTGGAAGTGAGAAGAATAGATCATTCAAGTCAAAATGGGAGTGCCAGGAACCCAGCCATGTTGTGCCACACTTCACCAGAGAACTACTGTCAACTCACTATCTTGTGACAATAGCAGTTTATAAAACAAACCTTGAAAGACTTAACCATAGCAAAGGGAACTGCACTGCTACAATCCAGCAAGACTTTATTATCCCTGTCAGAACTCCACACAGTGTACAATGACTATCTCAAGTGATTTAATGTGCTGGATTTCTTTTCTATGAAAAACAGCAGAGGGACTGCTGCCCAGAAGACAGTCATTTCGTTGCTCCAAGTTTAGTTTAGGATAGCATATTTTTGCCTTTAAACTCACTGAGCCAGTCTAATACCCTTAGATGGGCAGGGACAGCAAATTCTGTAGAGCCAGCAAGCAACATTTTTATTTTGGCTCAGTAAGTGCATGTCTATGGGCACCATACTGGTGGCCTGCTTTGTATTCTTGGTAAGCATGCTGCCACACTGGAACAGTATAAGAAGCAACCAATAGTTTTCACAGTAAGGGGTGGTTATTATAAATCAACAAATTACCGTCCAACACCACTCAGGTCAGTAAGTGTCATATTTTGCACCACTCACAAGAATCTACCGCCTATGGAATTTAGTCTATATTAATCCCTGTGCCTTGTGAAAACTCTTCTATCAACTCTCGTCCGTTCAAAGACATTTTTCACCACCAGGTTAAGCGGTACTTACCTAAATCACTCTTTCTTGCTATGACAGTGTCGCAGTGGGGGCAGTGAAATTTGGCCACATTCTCTGTGTGCTTCTGTAAAATGTGCATTTTCATGGTGCCACTCTGGGTAAAGCGAGCATGACAGATGTAACATTCATAAGGCTTCTCTCCTTTAGCAGGGGAAGGAAAGAGTATTTAGTGCATGAAGTTAGTTTTATTAACCAGTCTTGTCTAATTAAAAATATACCTGAATTGGAAAGAACCGTCAAAATGTGGATTTGGTGGCACAATATTTTAGTGCTCTGGTGATCTATCCCTTTCACAGGCTAGAGGCGTTTAGGGAAGTCTCAGTCCCCTACTACACATCTGCCCACATCACAAAACCACTGTGCATCTCATCACCTTAGTTCCAAAACAGACCTGCCTCGCTGAGGATTTAGGTACAGTAAGAGTTTTGTGAGGGGCTAATGTGCAACATGTAAGGATTTAGCACACACTATCAGATTTTTGCTTTCACAAGTGCCAATATCCTTCTCCCCCCCCCCCCCCCCCCAGTTACAAGACTGTTTTTCCTTCACACTTTAGCATCAATATTAGTATTGCACTAGTGTTTGGTGTCAATTATCCATGGGATTTTCACAAACTAGTTTAGTGAAATGCTCCTGTACCAAACATTGAACAAGTGTGACCCTGAATGTCTGCGAGAAGACTGAAAGTGGGGTAAACACTGATGTTCAGAGATTTATACTGATTTATATTACCCTTCTATTTTATGGTATGCCTGTATTCTAGAGCTCTCATTCTGCTAAACAGATTTTTAATTTTCTGTGACAAAACTGGAGACAGGCTCTCTCAAGCAAACTCCCATTTCTCAATTCAGTAACAAAAACGTTCAATGTACCGATTTAGATGCTAAACCCAGGTGCATGCTCTTCACTTGCAGACTTTACACTTTTTATACATAAACATGAAGCAATCTTTCATTTTGCCAGACTCATGGTGACAGGTGTGTTGAGAGCTCTAGCATACGTTAGCATTCCTGAGCCTCTATGCCCAATGCTGAAGCACCAATAGCACATTAACCAAGCATGGAATCAATACCAGAGTGAGTTCTCATGTGCCTCTTCAGTTTGTAAGTATCCCTGCTGGCATAACTGCACAAGCTGCACTGGAATGGGCGCTCTCCAGTATGAGAGCGAATGTGGCGTTTCAACTTGCTGACCTGAAATCCAAGAATGTGGTTGGTGTTAGCACAGATGAATAAGCCAGCCTTTCAGAATCCAAGCCAAGAAATTCAGTGAGAAGTTTCGGGTTTTTTAAACTGAAGTACTCTGCTGGGTTTTTGACTTCTTGTATTACTCAAAAGGTTCAGCCCACGTTACGAATCAGTATAGATGTGAAATGGAATAGCCTCAATAGAGTGTATGAGGATGCTGCATGGTTACTGACCCATAACAACAAATCCCAGCTCAAGCTAGCTCGGGGGAACGATGTGCATAGTGATTTTCTGGTTATTTCTCAACTACACTATGTAATTCACTGTACTACATTCATCGCAGCCCTCAGAACTTCATATCCATAAAGTGCTCAGATTAAAAGTCCACAGTAACTGCACAGCAAAAGAACCTAGACGGCGCTGTTGGTTGGGTTAAATCTTGCTGTTACGAATCAGGCATAACCACCATCTTTCATTCAGGATGAATGTAAAGAAGTGACTGAAATAATAGCAGTCTCCAAAAAAACCCAGACAAATGCAAGGCTGCCCAGAAATGTGTGTGTGAGTAAGAGAAGGAAGGCTCAGAGACAGCACAGAATAAAACAGGCACAATCTGGAGAATCTGTGATCCTGACAGAAGCCTAAAGAAGGGGCTTGTGGTGCTGGCTAAAGAGGCTTGGGGCTGTAAGAAAAGAATCTCTTGTTTGGTTCTTCCTATGTTCAAGGAAACACAACTTTGTACACTCCTTGTCAATAAACACGAAAATACGTGCCTATCATAATTTTCCCCTCCTAACCGGAGCATCCACAACACCCTGAACTTGGCTAACCACTCAGATCAAAAAGGGGCAACTACAATGAGACTGAAATGCCCACTTCCATTTCTTCCTGTACCATCTCAACCTATTACTGCACATGTCCCACTCCTGTCAATCATGCTGATCCTTAGCTTGCCTAAGCCTCTTCTCCCTACTACCCAGCATGAGTAATTTCTTTTTAAAGTAACATTTATTTTAAAAACTCTCCTTCAGCTTCAGTGCTGATTAGGGAAAGGAGAAGAACATTCCAGTAAGCCGCCTCCCAGTCAGCTTTTCAATAATTTTGAATGAGAAGACAGACTTTTGGAGAAGAAAGACGCAAGAAAAAAACAAAAAACAAAACACACATGACTCATTTTGACCGCAGATGCTCATTCTTCTTAACAAGCAAGTGCACGGTACAAGACTGAGACCACATTTCTTAAATCTGAGGGTGTTGCCAACCTTGAAGTACATTTATCTCAAGATATTGTTATCTCCTACATCCAGGGGTTAGCTAATTAACCCTGAATGTTGAATTTTATTATCATTAAAACTCTGCTATTGGGTCCCCAAAGGGTAGGGAAAAATCTCTAGGCTTTTTGTGCACATATCACCCACAAACCAATTTCTCTTTATTTTAATTTTTTTTTTTAATCTCACCATTTGCTTTCAAAGACAAGCCTTATTTACAAAATTTCTGCTTAAAGACCACTTTTTATGGCCAAAGTGTAAACTCCTCTAAATAAAATGTTTTAATGGAAATTGTTGACGCAGACCCTGGCCATGTATGGCATGAATGGTTGGTTCTGTGGTAATGATTAACCCAAACGTACCTCTACACTAGCATAGTCGCACATCGAACATTTGAATGGTTTCTCATGAGTATGTTTGTAACGGCGATGCCGAACCAACTCTCCACTGGTCACAAAGGCCATATCACAGTCTGGGCACTTGTGAGGGCGAGTACCTATATGTGTATAGCCAGGAAGGAGGGAGAAAATATTAAAGTTGAGTGATGAGCCAACGAAAACAACACATGCTAGTTTCGCTTTTATAAATTAGAAACTTTGGATTCATAATCTGAAAAACCTGAGACACTGTAGCACAGATATTGTGCGCTTGAACTGAAAAGTTGCCACTTTTGTGTAAAATAGCCATCATATTACTAAAGAGATTTACAATTTTTGAGGATGATCAAAAGGATGTATTTAGCTAAATGAAACACCGTATATATAGATAAACAAAACACTGTATTGTCTTCTGATCCCATGGTTATTCCTAGAATCCAATCATTTAGCTATGTGTTCTGTGTGTAGAATAAATTGGGAATATGGAAACATCTTCCCCCCCCTGCTCACTTTGTTGCGAGTGGTAGCTTTATTTTGGTTCTCATTCCCATTCGCCATTAGACAGGTACTTTAAGAAGCCTCTATAATAAAACTAAGTAATTCATTTCTATTTTTCCCTCTCCCATATAAACTTAAATAATTTTGTATTGGTCCCCCTCACACTCTTCTCTTGGGGGTCCCTGTCCTTTTGTTCATCTTTGAACCCGTCCTTATCCTGCTTCCACACAAGAAGGAGCATGAGCATGGAACTGATGTAAGCTTAGGGTCTGAATCAACTTCCACTAAAGTCAAAGGGATTTTTCCAATAGTTTCAAAGGGAGCTGGATCAGGCCATTTGTCAAGTTATATCCAGGCGCATACTGAGCTTCTCCACTGGCCCAGCAAGACAAAAAGCAAAGCTAACTGGACTCATATCAGAAACACTGAGGTAACAGCACTGTGAAATCCTTTTCCTACAGGAATATCTTATAGGAGATACAAGGGAGGGAAGGACTAATACTAAAGAGTGAATCCTATAAAACTCCTACTGTACAAGACGTGTAACTAAAACATTGTCTTTACTGATTGTACAGCATTAGCTCTGCATACAATACCTGTGTGAGTATTGAGGTGGTTCCTCAGCAGTGTGACTGTCCGGAAAGCTCTACCACAGAGATGGCACTTGTGTGGTCTTTCATCAGTGTGGCTTTTCATGTGGCGGTCCAAGTTAGAACGACGTGGACAAGTATAACTGCACAGCTCGCACTGGAATGTCTTCTTTACACCTGGCCACAAAGTAAACCAGCTTTACTCTAATCAGCCACGTACTCACTGCTCTACGTTAGGTTCAAGATTTCAATAGTCTTTCCTTGTTCCATGAAACTATTACATGGAAAGTAATCTTGTGCAACTAAATTGAACTGTACTTTCTATTAGAAATAGAAGGCAGTGATAAGCTATTGTTTTAGGATTTTAATTAACATGTCAATAATCATTTTTCTCCTGCACTGTCCTCACAGGACAAAAGAGAAAATCAAACACAAACACTGCATTCTTTTGCTGTCAATTTTATCTGGTAATTGGTTAAAAAAACCCAGTATCTGGGTTTTTATCATTTGGTGTAAAACTGTTGATAAAAATACTAAAATCTCAGAAACAAATATCTACATTATCCAGTGAAATGTAGTAAAATAGAACCCTTTCAAGTCTAGTTGTACAGTAGCAACAAGGTCAAAGCATCATATTCAAAGCAAAGTAAACAGCTACGTAGCACAGGAACAGAAGATGGAAGCTTCCTCTGAAAATGGAAGAACAGAGAGCTTTTACTTATGGCTTTAATTAATAACAGAGGAATTTTTTTACCAACACAAGGGCTTTACTCCCAATACAGTCTAGCTGAGTTTATTGTCATTTCTTTTTCAGCCCTTTCGTAAGTTCCCATTGTGAAAAATACATTTTAAACAGAGCTACTTAAGAATAGTTAATTTACCTTTCTTTTTGATTTTTGTTGGTTTAGGGGGCTTCATGTTGCCCACCACCTTTTCTGCATTAACCTCAGACAACAAACCCTCCTGCTGCTCCTCTTCGAAGTCATACACAGAAACATCCACATCTTTGCCTTCCTCAGTGTACCGGAGCTTGCTCTTTTTGGTTTTCTTTGATTTTTTGGCTGGTGGCTGATAGTCTGGATCTTTCTGCCAATTGGGATCTTCCTGTGGCTGAAGTTCACCTTGTTCCAGTGTCTCCACCTCACCATTTGCACCTACTTTCACTACCTGGAACCCTTCTGGTAAAGGGAGCGTGTGACAGATCATAGGCTCTCCCTCCTGCAGGCCTCCTTTGGAAACTTCATTTTCATAGGCTCCCTGAAGTTCTTCCACAGACGTAGTGGCAACAGGTACAGTCACTGGAACAGGTACTTGGACAAGCTGAAGCTCACCAAGGTTTATAGGCTGTTCTTCCATATTAACAACCTGAAGTGTTATTATCTGTGTGTCATCTACTGTAGCCTCTGCTTCCTGAGCCACTGTGCCTTCCATTACTTCAGTCTTCATTTGAAGAAGCGTTGGATCCAGCTGTTCCATCATTACCATTTGCACACCACTGTTGACATCCTGCACTACTTCACCCGCATCTGCTTGGTTCGGTGGTATATGGCAAGCATCCTCCTCCTGCCCACCTTCACGGCGTCTTTGATAGGTCTTTCTTTCTTTCCCCTTAATGAAAGTTTCCGACTCCTCCCCAATAGCTTCGATTGTCTCGCTTTCCATTTTGCCTTCCTGCTGTAGAAACAAGAAAGGTATTTTACAAGGTCACTTAGATGACTGTTTTGACAACAAGCAGTACAAATTGATGGGACAGAAGTTCAGACTGAAGACAAATGGTCAGACAATAGGGACTCGTTACATTCACTGATATTCTAACATGGAAACAAGCAGAACTTTGGGGTCACATTCTATTGACATACTGTTGGTAACAGCTTTAATACCAAAGTAGTAGTAGAACACAATCTGAAGTGAAACAACTACTGTGCCAGTTTCAGGGAAGGAAGGGATAGGGGGAGGAGAGATTAAGTGATATGCACATTTCCCACTACATACTTAAAAAAATCTGTAAATCCCAAAGGCAGGATGTACACTGGTATTATTCATTGCTTATAAATTACTGCTTATGCATCTTATAGTCTCACTTTACACAGTTGCCAGCAATATCAAAGGCAATCTTGAACTATTTATTTTTAAAAAGCATGAAAATAAAGTAATAACAATATGGTTGCAGCCAGCTTTTGTTATGAAGCACCAGGATACATGAACTTGGAAATTTCATTTGGTCCTAAAACTGCAAGATTTATTCTTAAAACAGAAGAAAGATGTTTCTGCAAAATCTGAAGAAAGTGCAACCTGTCTGAGAATTACAAGTCATTAAAAAAATACCCCAAATGAAATTCTGATGAATTCACATTTCTTTGTCTCCCTCTAGCTCACAAAAATTACTACTTTCCACGTTGTTCAATCTCCATAAAAATTCATATGCAGTCATATTTAAAGAAAACAGATGATTTAGTAACATTTGCTGTGGATAGTTTGGGGCCCAAATCCTGCTCCTGTTAACGTAAAGGGATGTTTTGGACGCTGACTTCAGTGGAAACAGGATCAGACACTACATGTATTTGTGCATGTTGCCCTCTACTGGCCAGCTGCAGCTTAGCAAGAACATAAGGATCCTTCTACAGCAGAGGTGGGCCACATCCGGCTGCCAGACATGCTGCTCTGAGCGGCATGGTAAGAGGGCCGCGGGATTGGATAAGGGGCAGGGGTCCCGGGGGGCAGTCAGGGGACAGGGATTGGTTGGATGGGGTGGAGGTTCTGGGGGGCGGTCAGGGGAATTGGATAAGCGTGGGAGTCCTGGGGGCCTGTCAGGGGGCAGGGGTGTGGATAGGGGTCGGGGGAGTCAGGAGACAGAGAGCAGGGGGGGCTGGATAGGGGGTGGGGTCCCGGGGGCGGTTAGGGGCGGGGGGTCCCAGGAGAGGGCGGTTAGGGGACAAGGAGCAGGGCGGGGGTTGGATGGGTCAGAGGTTCTGAGGGGAGCAGTCAGGGGGCAGGAAGTGGGAGGGGTCAGATGGGGGTGGGGGCCAGGCTGTTTGGGGAGGCACAGCCTTCCCTACCTGGCCCTCCATACAGTTTTACAACCCCAATGTGGCCCTCGGGCCAAAAAGTTTGCCCACCCTGTTCTACAGCTAACACCTTTCTTTGGCTCAAGTGACCTGCATTTTTGGAGTTGCAAGATTGGAGTTCTAGCGGTTTCTAATGGAGAGGTGCTCGCTTTTCTATGCTTAAGGTTGCCACCAGTCATAGTAGAAGGCTGGTTTTGCCTTGTAACTAAACAGATAATTTCAAAATGTTTATAGCTAGATCTTGTTGGCAACAAGAACATTTCAGAATTTTTAAAAATAAAAATGTCAATATGTAAACATTTCTGAAATTTTTGTCCAATACTGCTTGTGATCCTGTTAAAAAACTCACTAGAATACAAAATTTCAGGCATTGGTAGATTTTAACAATGGCTTGTGAACAAGGTAGTTTTCAAGAGTAGAAAAAGTAAGGTTTTTAAGAAATTGCCATTTATTTGGAAACTAGACAAATCTCGGTCAAAGCCAATGGATCCATGGTGACTATTTTCATCATCTACAACAGGGGTCGGCAACCTTTCAGAAGCAGTGTGCCGAGTCTTCATTTATTCACTTAAATTTAAGGTTTCACGTGCCAGTAATACATTTTAATGTTTTTTAGAAGGTCTCTCTCTATAAGTCTATATATTATATAACTAAACTATTATTGTATTGTAAAATAAACAAGGTTTTCAAAATGTTTAAGAAGCTTCATTTAAAATTAAATTAATGATTTAAATTTAAATTTAATTTTAATTTAACCCGCTGCTGGTCTGGGGTTCTGTTCACCTAGATGGGCAGTGGGCTGAGCGGGGCCTGCGGCCGGGAACCTGGCTGGCAAGGGTCCGGCAGCCAGAACCCCAGACCGGCAGCGGGCTGTGTGGGGCTGACGGCCGGGACCCCAGACCGTCAGTGGGCTGAGCGGCTCAGCCCGCTGCTGCTCAGGGGTTCCATCCGCCGGCTCCTGCCAGCCGGGATCCCGGCTGCCGGACCCACTCAGCCCGCTGCCGGTCTGGGGTCCCATCCCTGCCCACATACAGTGGGTACCTACCTTCTCCCTGGTTCTGGCCCATTCTCTTCCTCTCTCTCTGCACTGAGCTGAGGGTGGGACTGCACTGAGCACAGGGCTGGGGGTGAAGGAGCAGGCTGGGGGTTGAGGTATAGGGTCTGGCCAGGAGCTAGAATAAGGCTCAGGGTTGGGGCAGGAGGTTTGGGTGTGGAGCGCTTACCTGGGCAGCTCCCATTTGGTGCGAGGGGTGCAGGTGGGAATGTGGGGGGGGGGTGTGCAGGAGCTCCAGTTTGGTGCTCAGGGTGGGGGTGGGGATGTGGGGGGTGCAAGAGTCAGGGCAGAGGGCTGGGGGCATGTGAGGGGGGTGCAGGTGTCAGGGCATGGGGGGCCTGGGTATGTGGGGGGATGCCAGAGTCAGGGCTGGGGTTGTGGGGGGGGTGGAGTCAAGCAGAGGGCTGGGTGTGTATGAGGGGGGTACAGGGCTCAGGGCAGGGGCCTGGGGTGTGTGCGGGGCTGCAGGGCTCAGGGCAGAGGGCTGTGTGTGTGTGTGGGGGGCCAGGGCAGAGGGCTGTGTGTGTGTGTGAGGGGGGTACAGGACTCAGGGCTAGGGGTGTGTGTGGGGGGGTAAGGGCAGAGGGCTGGGGGTGTGGGCTGGGGTCGTGGGGTGCTCACGGCAGGGGGCTGGAGGGGCTATGCCCCTATTCCACCCTCCCCCAAGGCCCTGCCCCCGCTTCTTCTCTGCCTCCGCCGGGAGCAGCGAGCACGCTGACTCCACTCCTCCCCTAGCCCCTCCCTCGCAAGGGCCATCAGCTGATCGGCTGGCAGGGAGGGAAGGACGGAGAGGAGGAGGAGCGGCAGGAACCCAGCACACTGCAGGAAGAGGCAGGGGAGCCAGCAGGACCAAGCTTATGCCCCCTGCCCCCGCGGGAGGGGCAGAGGGCAGAGAAGAGCGGGCCGGGCCGGATTTTTAATGGCACACTGCTGACTGCCAGGACTCCAGCAGGCAGCAGTGTGCCATTAGAAATCGTCTTTGGCATGCCATAGATTGCCGATCCCTGATCTACAATGAAGCAGCTGGGGCTCTCCTTTAGAAAAGAGAAAATAAATTCCAGAATCAGGTAAAATGATAACTCCTGTATTCCTCATCAAAATGACCCCTCAGTCTTGAGAGAACATGCACGGGTCCATTTTACAGGTGGGATAACATAGGATAAAAGTTTAAATTAGTTTCCATATGAAGCTACAAATAAAATCAGGATTGGAATTCTGATCTCTGAGATGAGACCCCCACACTAGACCAAAAGTGTCTCTCAGAGTATTTCAAAACTCTACACTTAGTGAAGCCAGCTAATTTGGGGCTTACAAAGGTGACAAGAATTGTTAAGAGCTTTGGGACACTAAAGATGAAAGGCTGTAAAGTAAATGCAAAGCACATTATTAGACACATTTTATATTGGGTAAATAAGGCACACATATTTGTGGCCTGCTTTCCAGTGGTGCTGAGCACATCCAACTCCTTTTTGATTTCAAAGGGAATTGTTCAGCACCTCTGAATATCAAACCACTTAAACAGTTGCCTAGGTATGATTTAGATTAACTTTCGATATCCATTTTGAAAAAATATCAGTGTATACATGCATATTACGCACACACACACTGCTATCTGCCTCTATTCACATCTATTTTATTGCATCTTCTTCTGATGTTCCTCCCTTCTTGGGTCTATTGATTATTCTCTCTTTGACTGTTTTGCTTTGACAATGTATCAACATCATGGTCTGCTCAAACTACAGTTCACCTGCTGGTGTGCAACCTATGACTTTCAGAATGTTTCTTGCAACCAGAAGTTGCAGTTTCCAAGGAGCACTGAATACCAGAAGTACTGATATTTTGCTTCATATACACTTCCACCTCCCTCTTTCCTAACACCAATTAGCTATTCAATGTACAGTAACCCACATGAACAAACATCTGAGAAAGACTTGAGTACCTGATACTGACTGGCAGTCTGCAGGGGATCAGAACAGAGCTTTGTCTTTATCCCACAGTGGAGGTGTGAAAGCCTGGGCAAACTCTGTCTTCTAATCCAGGGGTTCTCAACCTTTTTCTTTCTGAGGCCCCTCCAACATGCTATAAAAATTCCACAGCCTACATGTGGCACAACAACTGTTTTTCTGCATATCCACGGGGTAGAAAGCAATGCAACTGCCTGGGGCCCCATGCCACAGGGGGCCCCGCAAAACTAAGCTACTCGGGCTTCAGCTTAGCCCTAGTTGGTGGGGCTTGAGCTTGGGCTTCCACCCCAGGCAGTAGGGCTCCAGCTTCAGCTTTCTGTCCTGGGCTCCAGCAAGTCTAACGCCAGCCCTGATCTCTGGTTTATTTTGGTGGACCCCCTTAAACCTGCTTGCGACCCCCCAGGGGGCCCCAGACCCCTGGTTAAGAACTGCTGTTCTAATCACAATTATCCCAGATATTTGGGTAGGGACATGGAAAGTTAAGAGATAAAAGGAGGCATCACTCTTTAAGTGAGAAGAGATAATGGAGCTGGGTAAGCAGAGCAGGGCAGAAAAGCATGATAGGAAGACAGAAGAATAGGAAAAAAAGAA